CTCAGAGATAGGTAATAATAACATCATCGAATAGTGAGCTTTTCAACACTCGATTAGTTTGTGAGAGCAGATGTCACTTTTCACAAGGTAAATATCTAATTTTGATCAGGAGCTCATCATTCTTTTCAGACTGATTAGGTAACATTTCAAAGGACAAAATGTATGAGAAATGAATATAATTTAATGGTATGGACACAGACGTCAAAATAAACCTTAGTGGGGCCTAAGTATGTCACAGTATTAAATCAAATCCAGACAAAAGGGAAGAACAAAAGATTTTAACACACTTGTGAAAAGATATCATACCTGTATTGAATGTTGGCACACTGTTGCTTATCTTTCATGACCATAGGTGCTTTTGAAACACACACACACATCTTTCTCTGTAACTGCATGAAGGTACAGTATGCATACAATTATCCAAATCAAACTTTTGTTTTGAAAAGTTGATGCTCTGAGGCTGTGGTGGCCTCAACAGATGGGTGACAGGAGATTTCCGGTGATTTGCTTTTATGAACGTCACTAAATAGCAGCCAACAGAGCTACAGCAGAGCGCCACTGGTGGATTTGTTGATGTTCAATGAGGCAGTTGGTGAGGAGGCGAGGCATTGTTTTCTACTCACTGGGGATGCATTGAGTAATTTGCGGTTACTGGGGAGATGCCATCCCCTTTCATCCCCCCGAAATGGCCGCCTGACCGTGGCTGATGCCAAAAAAGCTCCACAGCACATTGTTGGCATTGCGCAGACATGGGCCACCAGTGCTACACACATATTAAGCTGCGTGCCCCCACAGCTTAGTAGGTTGTTAAAGAAAAAATAACAGTGTAATTAAAATAAATAGCACATAAGCACAGGCAAGAATGATGAGAAAAAGCTTCAGAATGAATAGTCTGTCATAAACTATACCTAATTATCTGGGATTTTAGCATGAAAGTATCGTGCTCAGGATGTATGAGTGTGACAACATTATTGAACTGTTCTCTTTAAAATCTCATCAACCCCACTGGAGCCACAACTGAGGCCATTACTACAAATGTATGCAAATGTATGCATAGCAAAGCTTTGATCAACCCCACAAACATTTATTTATGAAGAGCCATGCCAGTAGTTTTGCAGGTTTTATTAACTACAGATGACTGACCAATTATTTACAATACAATATTGTGAAAACCATGCCTGTGTTCTGGAATACCTTTTTCCTACCTTTCCATACATTCACTGATTAAATACATTTTAAGACGAAACTATTATCAGACTGTTGAAGTTCGCTTGAGCTGCATGGTCCACTGCAAGATATCAAAAATCTTTGCCAGTTACACCAATGTTACAAAGTAATGTTGGGCAGACTTTTAAAACATTACACAGATGTGCACAATTTCAAGAAGAATCCTCAAACTTGAAGTAGCAAATGACAAAATATGCTGAGTCCCAGCCTGGTGTGGGTTAAGCTTCTAATTTGGGCTTTGCTTTCATAAATGTTTAATAGTCAGTTTGTTTGTTTTTTTATAAAGGAAATTAATAAAAACCAGTGGCTGCAAAATGTGTATTTGAATTGAAGACTTCTCAAACCTGCTTGATGTTTACAGTGACAAAACTGAACTAAATGACATCTGTAAAAAATTATTCTAAACTTGTTCATGTTCTTATACAGTATATTCTTGAAACCATTTGATCCTCAGTTCCTTACTTTTGTATAGAATTAGAAGTTAAAACGTACCTGAACCGATTGCTGCAGTGTGGACAGATTTAGCTTTGTTTCTCTGTTCAGTTACATAGAGCAGTCTGAGTAAACATTTTCAACAAAATGTAACCCAGGGACCACTGTTGTGGGGTAGCCACACCGGATGGAAACAATTTTAATCCTGAAAGTCACCTTAGATTTTCTAAATTCTATATATTTGTATGAATGTGATTATTCTCAAAGAATAAGAAATACATGGAAATGAATGAAACCAAAGCAAAAAGATTTCTACAGTGAAGCTAGATCACTGCAGACCACTGTTTGAAAACCCCTGTCCTATAGTGTCAGCTGAAAACAAAGTGAAATGTATTTGCACGCAGGTCAAAACTGACATAACAAGAGGGAATGGGGGTGGGGGGTCTGTTGCACGAACATTAAGAAAACATTCTCAAAAAGAGTCATTGAACATGTTTTTTGTAATGACAGTTTAACATTATTCATGCAAATATTAATCTTTTAGTCTAGGTGTGGCCAGCTGTGTTCCATTTCTTTTTATCAGCCTGTCAATATTTTAATACTTTTTTTTTTTTTTTTTGCAATAAATTGTTTTCCAAGTATAGCTTGAACCAATGCTTGCATTTACCCTTATTACCCATTTCTAGAAATAATAAAGATTGTCATCATCATCAAAAACCTGTTATGGAACCTCTGAAAATTATTATCATTATTGTTGTTGTTGTTGTTGTTATTATATACATACACACTTACTTTCTTTCTTTTCTTTTTTAATCTGAAAACCTTGGAAGGAGAAAGGGAGAAATCCCCCCTGCAGCCCAGTCACAACATTTCACACACTCTGCTGTGTTGTTAGCTCACAGTGCCCCTTGTGGCTAGTCCCATGCTTCAAGCATGCTACCCTCACTTTCCAGCAGACCTTCGCAATCTGTTCCCACCAAAAAAAAAAAAAGGCATGCATTACACCAAGCAACCCCATCCTAAACATAGCAGAGATGGCTTTTACAGTTAAGATTCAGCACAGGACTGCATAATTGTCTCTACAGCAGGTGGGATGATAACATCCCAGGGGAGAGAAAAACGAGTCTTTATGCATTTTGCACTAATTGTAGCAATGTCTAGTGCATTCACCTAAAGTGAAAAACAACAAGTATTTTTTTCAGTTTTCAGGTAGCCCCTCAAGGACCCCTGGAGCTTCCAGGAACACAACCCTGCACAGGAGCGCATGTTGGATTGATAAAATACTTTTCCAGCCAATTTAACTCTTGTTTTAAGTATCCAAATGATATTTCTGCTCTGTTACAGAGTGGTATGAAAAATGATAGAGAAGACAGGAAAGATGTAGAAGAGCAAAGGAGAGTTTGGAGGGGGTGGACATATCAATTTCCTAGTTCCTCCCCCCTCCCCCACGCACATAGATTCCTTTTTTAGTTCACTATTGCCAAGGATATTAATAATTAATGAGGACAATTCTCTGGCGACTGGATGAGTCATACCTTGTGCTCCTTGCATTCCCAAAAGCCCCAGTAGCTGGATTAACACAGAAACAGGAATTCTGAATTTTTAACGCTAAAATGGACGTAGCATGAATGTTTGATAAGTGGTTAAAACAGATGGATGATGATACCTGGCAGACAATAAAGTCAGTGATAACATAGTTTCAAAGGGTCAAAGAGAAAAGTAAAATTAGGGATGTCAGGACATGGGTTCAACATAAATGAAGGCAAACAGAACATTTTAAGCAATGTGAAAAAAAAGCTACATTAACACCAATTTCGTGGTATTAATCTTTGAAATCTGACTTTCTGACAGTTTCACAACAAGACAAAACCCAGTTTAAATCATGTTTTCACACTTCATTTAGTTTGGCATCTATAAAAATGCTTAAAGCATATCTTAAAAGTGAAACGTGTGGCGGCTGTGTGTACACCATTGTTTTTAAACCAGTGTAAAAAGCACAAACGGTTTCATGGCCTTAAGTGTAACAAGCAGCAGTTTCCTTGCTTCCACAGCCGGTTTCCTCAAAACTAAACAGACTAAGCACACATATATTATGCTTGAAGGGCAGCCAGTGTTTGTACATGAACAAAACAAGTACAATAATTTGTCACTTGAGCTGAAGTCTGTCCAACACTAAGCTGTTAGGCAAACCAACTTGTTCTGTGAAAAACTCAAAGTAGAGTATGAAGGAGTTGGCGGTGTCAATGCAAGAATGCAAGACTTTTTTTCTTTTTAAAGCAAAGCAACCTAGAAAACCTAAGCACATGTGAAGTAAAAGAATTAGGGGAACACATTGCAAATAGGTGCTGATTTTAATACCTTGATTTCAACATGATTATACAAGAGAAAATTAAGCAATATACAGGAGATTTATGACTGATAGAAAATTGTATTTATTATACTTTCCAAGATACATTCTAATGATTTGTAATGTCAATAAACACTCATAATTTTAACATAACAAGTTAAGTTTATAAAATAATTTTGAAATAGAATCTGTGTTGACAACATAACCTCAAAATAAATAAACTAAATTATTTGAAGCCATCATGACTGAGCAGTTTTACTAATATTGCACATGGTGTTTTCTGATACGATTCTATCCAAATAAAACAATTTAGAGCCTCAATTTTTGTCAACTTTTCTCTCCATTCCCATCCCAACAATTCGAGAAGCATATCAAGTTTAATGCACATTTATTTTGGTTGCATAATGTTAATAAGAAAACTTTTACAGGTAAGGTGGGTGATAAGAGTAAGGAAACTGCTTAAAACGTCACAGACTCTATCTCATCTTGCCGTGCGATATAATAAAAAGAAAACATCACAGGTCATATCACAGTCTTAGTCCAGTGGGTCAAGTGCTTCCATAAACTGAGAGAAACAAAAACCCTTCAACTGACTCAAATGTCATCGTTGACCTGAAAAAGCTCTGATGCATTGTTCCAGCCAGTCCTTTCCACTCTTTGTGTATTATTCTTTTTAAATAATACCAATAACTCTTTAAATAACCTGCATAGAAAAATAAATTAACTATGTTCTTCTTCATTTTTTTTTACTACGAATTGAGAGCTGACAAGGGGAGGGGGATCACTGCTTGAATTATATTAATAGTTTGTTTGACAATTCTGGCTTGTAGTCTCTTGATGATGATGTTCTGTTGTACTGTGTGTGTGTGTGTGTGTGTGTGTGTGGGT